GGCAACAAGGCCAGAAAAAGCCCGTGAACCTGGCCTTCCTGGGAGACAAGGAAGAAGTTCATGTGCGAAGGCTGCGCAATGTTGTCACTGGCCACCGTGCCCGGGCGAACCTTTGCAGCCACATGCTTCCAGTTGTGCCTGGCTTACAAGTTGTTGCCCTGAGAACTGCTCGCCTTGCCAAGCTATCCATAGTCCGTCATAATCCAATAATATCCCTGGCTCTTGCGTTCGTGCGGACGCATGCGTGCATGCACGCGTGAAAGCGTGCGTGCGCTGGATTAGGACATCCCGTAGAACTGGAGTGGGAATAGGGTCCGCGGGAACCACGGTAGCTGGCAACTGCAAATGAGAAGAAGTGCGAGATACTTGAAGTGAACAATAACATAAGGTGGGCAGGAGGTTGGGACAACACATGCGCACGTTGAGAGCAGCAAGTGAAGGCATGTGAAACGCGAGGGAGGAGAAGAACAAAGAAAGTGAATGGTTGAGGCAGTCAAGGCCCGGGACAATATGTCGAGCTTGTGAACTTTCATGTTTTTTACGCGTTCGAAGCCACCACAGTGACACCATTAAGCACAAAGCCCACAACCCAGAGTTAACATGCCAGGTTGTCAAAAAACTTAAGAAGCGATACTTCTGGACTATTCCATCTCAGATGATCTAACCCACTGCCCACATCCTCGGAAGCTTTTGCTCGATGCTGCAATCCAAGTCGTCGGCCTGTGCCGGGTCCTTCTTGCCCTTGCCCTTGTCCTTGCCCCCTCCCTTGCCCTTATCATCTGCCATCCACAGACGTGTCTGATGACGTTTCCTTCGGCTTTTCGGGATAGAGAAAGCGGGGGATGGGGCAGTTGGTGCAGGGCGCAGGGCTCGTGAACACTCGCCAAGGTTACGCGAGAAGCATGGACAAGGTGGAAAGGCACAGCACGAGCAAACTTCTGAAGGCGAGGGTCTGGCCAACGATGATGACCAGACGTGGCTCGTATGTCGCCTCTACGTTCTTAAACGCGGTATCCAGCAGGTTCAATTCGCGCTGCAAGACGTTGACGAACTGTCCATCAGAGACACCATCGCCTCAACCGTGACACATGTCGTCTAGTGTCGTAAGCATTTCATGCAAAAGTGGAGCGGCACACTTCTGCCGCCCTGGGAGATCCCCTCACACGATAAGTGCCGCACGATAGTAGATGATGTTGTTCGGCAGCCGTCCATTCATCTTTCTCCACTTCTGCAGCATATTCTGTGCCATGCCTTGGGGTCATTGCTTCTTCAGCCGCATCCTGGGCTTCGTTGAAAGAAAAGCAAGGTTTCGGGTGCTGGGGGGGGGATCTGGGTTTGGGATGCTTTGGGGTGGTTTGGGGCGGAGGATTCGGGGAGAAGGCCGAACCCTTTTCTCATGGACATGGACCTACACCATTCCCGTGCAGGTCGAACCCGATGCCCCAATTGTCAAGGCGCGCCTCACCTGATGTTTCAATCAGACTCCGCCGCGTCTAGACACGCATCCACTTGCGATGCGAGAAGGAATCATAGGGCTCCCCATTCAGGCCGGGCTCATTTGTACTAAAGGGAAGGGGTCCACATGTACTTTCGGGGTTGGGGGGGTGGGGTTGGGAGGGTTCCGGCACGCCAGAGTTGCACTCTCGGAGGGTTTTCCTATCTGCAGCGGTCGCAGCGGTAGTAGCGGCTAAGTAGCGGTAACAGTGATAGTAGCGGTGTCGTCGTCGACCAATATCAGTACTCGTAGTAGTACTGGGATGCCAGAGTCATGACCCGTTCAAAGCCTGTCCAAAGGCAAGAAGGCCGGTGAGCTGTAGAGAGCCCAGGCCCATGCAGCGTGCTCGACCCAAGTACGACTGAAACTCTCAGCCCGTAGGGCCTGAGCCCACAAACCCCTACACCCCCCATTCTTATAATGAGCAAAAAGTGATGTGATGTGATGAGGGCTATAACCCCAAGCCCTATAGTCTCCCTAATCGCTGAAGCAAAGCCTCCAAAACCCAAACCCCCCGAAACCCCAACTTAACCCCAACTTAACTTAACCCCTATCCCCCAATCCCCATTCGCCACTAGCCGCAGACCTTCAACCTCCTGAAATCTGAGGCAAGGGGCCAAGGAGTCGCTGCACAGCTCCAAAAGCGCCGCGCGGACCCTGGCGCACGTCGGGAAGTTTAGCTCCCGGCCTCTCAAATCCAAACCCACCCAGGGCGGTTTGGATGTATACCGGGCCAGATCCGGGCAAGCGTGGGGGCTGGGGGGAATGTGCAGCTGGGCCTGCCAGATAAGGACACGTCACGCGGCTCCGGCGGCACCAGAAAGCCAAACATGGCGATGGCAGGGCGCAACAACATCAAAGGGGTTCTATACAACCGCCTCTGGCATTGGAATGGGCATTTTGGGCAGTTCTCCTCTATAGTCGTATGACGTACGGGTAGGAACGCTACACCGTGTAGGCTACACCCCAAACCCTGAACCCTAGCTGCATGCAGACAGCCTATAGGTTCGCTATTGAAATTAAAAAATGCAATATTCATCGTGCAGCGTCACTATGCGTGACCCAGAGGCGTCTAGGCCCACAGCTCAGAACAGCACTGCTTAAGCCGTTGTCGCACCGTCGCCGGATACACTTCAAGTCAGACTCATTCTCCTAGTTCCTTGGAGTAGAGAATGATACAATTAGCAAGAGTGTTAAACTGTTAAACACACACGCACAGAGACAGCCGGAGAGGGAGAGAGAGAGAGAGAGAGAGAGAGAGAGAGAGAGAGAGAGAGAGAGAGAGAGAGGGAGGGAGGCAGGGAGAGTCTCCCAAATGGTCGAAAGGTTTCCTACTCAGCACGTAGGCAGCAACCTGAAGCATTAACGCCCTGAACCCTAAATCCCATAAACCTTTTGACATCACAGGTGAGCTTTCGCACCGGACTACCGACACCCAACAAATCAATTGGCAGAACCCCAAGGATGTGGCGAAGCATGTGGCCCGAGCTTCATCTTCATTTGCGGGACTATGTTTGTCATCCTCTTCAACTTCATCTCCCTAGGAATTGAGGTTGACATTGCGGCCTGGGATGGCCCCGACAAGGTCCCGATATGGTTTGCCTACATGAACATGCTTGTGGTCTTCATTGTATGTGAGCTCACTGTCAACTTCATTGCCAATGGACCGTATGGCAGGATGGCTTTTGCTGCAGCGGCGACACATGGCGTACTGTCACTCAGCTTAGCAGCCATGTCTTTCGACCTCACCGCGGCGTTCGTGGGCCTCAAAAACATCGGTCTGGTGCAAACATAGGGTTTGGAGTTTGGCTTCGGGACCGAGGGTTGGGGTCGAGTAATGTGCCAGGATCGCGGTCAAAGCTCTCATCGCATATGCCTGTCCACCCTGTAGGTGAACCCAACGAAAGGGTCATCGATATTGAGCCCGCACACCGCGCGGCGCATACCACGGCGTATTAAAGGGAGCCCATAGAGCAAGCACTGTAGATGCGAACAAACACCACAGAAGGATCACCTACAAGGCATGCTGCATGAGGATTTTACAAAGACCCAGGGCTGGCGCTTGGAACCTAGCGTGTCACTACGTAGTGCTCAGGCTCATCGTCCCAGTCCCACGTGGACTGGACTGCCTTGGCTGAGGGTTCTGAGTCGGCGCGGTCGCGCGGTCACGCATCTGCTCAAACAACCTGCATTTGCTACACAACATGCCGTCGTGGGCATTCTTGCAGGATTTACGGGTGATCGTGACTGAGTGTTTACGTTCATACTGCCCCAACGCCAGCACGCAGCCGGTTGCAGCCCAGAAGCTCGGCTTGTCGCAGTGGTCCAAGGAACCCAACCTGTGCAACAAAGAGACCGGATACTCACAGTCGCACACGGCAAGCAAGGTTCAGGGTTTAGGGCGCTGGGCTCGGCCTGCTACAGGAAATATTCAGGTGCTACATTTCGTGCTTGCTTGATGTTCTTCAGCAAAGCATTGTGAGGCAGGATCATGAGGGAGGTAATGTTGCAGAGGCACGGTGAGTCTCGACGTCTCGATGCGACCCTAACCGTTTGACCTACGCCTCTACGGCACCGGCGGAGGACCATAGTTGCTAACCGCTGCCCATCAATACACACGAACAGCTAATACACCATCAAAAGTGCATACAAGGCTGAGACCAAAGCCGGGCTCGAGGCGCGTTGCCGGGCCCCGCTCCTGCGCGAGCAACATGAACATAATGCTAATGGGCCCATATTAAAGCTGGTGACATGAACCACCAGAAGAGCCACCATTCAGCTTCTGAGTTATTCCTGTAGTTCAAAGACCCAAGGGTGCAGAGCCTGGGCTGTAACAGTCTACATGGCTTGGACTCATGAAGGTTCAAGGATGTAAGGAGTCATTACACGAATTTGCATGGCAACATACGGGTATTTCGACCCACGCGCGCAGAAATACCACTCAATTTAGGCAATCGAGCGGTAGACCTCCCGTTTTGGAGCTCAACACGCAGGGCTCTGATTCCACTCCTGAAGTCTGCAAATCAGGAATCAAGTTCAGGCTCGATGCTAACCTCCTTCTGCTACAGATAGGACCGTAGAGTACAGAAGGTTCAGGGCGGGGGGGAGGGGGGGGGGGCAATGAATCTAAATACAAAATTTTAAGAACGTTTGACGGTTTGGAGCCCAGGCCATTTTTTGTGTCGTTTTAAATTGCCCCGCTGACCTTACCCCTCAACTGCAGGCTTCAGGAGTGGAATCAGGGCCCTGCGATTTGAGGTCTCATCCTCGAGGTGCTTATATCATGTATTTGATATAGCTGGCCTCTATAATTCTGTCACCGAGAGTATTGAATAGTGAAGTCATCACCGCATTAACTTGGGATGGAATTCGGAAGATTAAGAGTGTGTGAGTTATGCCTTACTCTTGAAAATGCGATTCAAAGTTTAAGTAAGAGGCCGTTTAGTATTTAATCATCACATACTACAAGTAAACAGTAAACGCAGTACGAGTGTGCCAAACATGCTGCCTTGCACACACACACACACCCACACACACACACATCGACATATGCGACTTATAACTTGTAGAGAAACACTCTTCATCATATGAGTTCCCCGCCCGAAATTCAACATGCAAACAGTCGGGCTTATTTGATTGATGAGTCGGAGGCCAATTAATTACAGTTCAAAAGTTCGCCTCGGCCTCCGGCCGGGAAGCGTCTGGAACAAGCTTTCCCACCCGCCTACACTCCCCGGACTCCCCCTCCCCTTCCGCCATGGCCCTAACCCTTACCCCGCAACCGCCCGCCCAAATCTTTGAGGAAACCCCTCTTTTGCTACTTTCTTGGCAGCTCCCACCACCCTTCGCCAGCTTCACTTGGTTTTGCACCACCTGCTGACACCGCAAGCATTCGCCGGCCGACAGCAGTGTGCTGCAGGTTCAAGGTTTCGGGTTTTCGGGTGCCCCGGCTGCTCAGGCGGTGCGCGCAAGCGTTTACAATTACCTTGTGCGACAGTACAATACTCGCCCTAGACTTGCAGAGCCTACAGTAGCGAGGCTCGACTTTTTCAGGGGCGACTGGGGCGCTATGCGTTTTTGGGCCGAGCCTCCGCATCCTGCCTGCCATCTTCCTCCTGAATCAACTGAAGGTTAGGGTTCAGAACACGAAGCGTCACCCAACCTAGAGCTGTGCAATTTTCGAGTTGCCCACCAGTAGCCCTCACACAGAGAAACCCCCGGATAAGCTTAAATTCTTAAAGTTGGCCCGCAGGAAAGACAGACTGTGGCCAGCCTTCATCCAATCTTTAGCTTGCTGCAGAAGAGCTTGGTCAGCACCGCCATGGTTTTCCGCTGCATCCAACGCCCTTTTCACGGCATCAACGTTCTTCTGCTCCAGCGCTCCCTTGGCATTTCACAGGGCACAATTCGCCTAGGAAGCGCCTGGCAGGCTGCGTGCTCGCGACCCTGCCTTCAGCTTCTGTTGCAAATCTTGCGCCTGCACGGAGGCAGCGGATGTAGATTCAATACATGCATTTTTGCTATGACACCCCAGCTCCTTACAGCGTGTGCGTGCCCAGGGGTGCAGCCGACGAGCCGGAGCCCAGCTAGCCTCCACTGACACGTGTGATGCCTTCTCCGTCCTGCTTCGTCCTTCTCCACGTCTTCCGAGCCCGCGTTGGTCGGCTGACTTTGGGCTGGCTACTTCAGCTGTGACGATCTCATCACTGTCACTGGACTGTCACTGTGTTTAGCCAATGAGAGCATTGTCAATGTAAGTGGTGCTAGGGTTCCAGACCGTGCGTGGGAAAGCTGGCCGGGCCCCAAGTGCAAATTGGCTAGCAACGCACCGTGAGCGCCGAAATGCTGGCATGAATCCTTTGGCGAGGTACCAAAGTGGACCTGCCCACAAGCCAATGAGCCCCACCCACAGACGAGATCGCTTTTGCAGGGGAAGTTGGCCGACGAAGCGGAGCAGGGGGGTTGACTGGGATGCTTTCGGTTCAAGGCAGCGCTTCGGAACTGCAGAGATACCTTAAGTCTCTCAGTGACTAATTGCCAGCAATGATACCCTATGCTTTGAGCCTGCATCCATGGGCATCCTACACCGCCAGCGCCAAGCTCGGCAATCACCGTTAAGCGGTCCCCAAAACTCCAGATCGCTTATAATGCGCGGACTGTTGAGCACTGCAGGATATGGTCTCTGCATCTCTTTGCCGTCGTCTGCTGCAGAGCCTCGCGTTTGCAATATCGTCGCGTGGCCGTGTGGAGCCTTGAGTCGTTACTTCTACCGATTTCTATCGACACGAAATAGTCCTCAGCAGTCGTAGTGGACCAGATACATGACCCAAGCCGGGACTTCAGATGTGGCCATTGGGATTCGGGTAAATCCTGATGATTCATACATCGTACACTTCGCAGGATTTCGGCAGGCAAGGGCAGTTCTCTTAAAGGCCGTGGCCCGCTTGTTAACAGAAAACTGACAGCAATGGGCCAGCAAGGACACTCAAATGATAGCAGTGCTGGTGCAGCCTTGCAGAAGCACCAGCACGGCATGTCATGCCGTGACATCACGCTGTTTCGAGCTTTTTTTGCATCAGTCCGACTTCCGCAATTGACTCCGCTTGACCAAGCGACACTGTACAGCAACGCGGGTCAGTAAATGGAGGGAAACACAAAAGGAGAGGAGCTGAAGTGGCCCAGTATCCGCGCGGAGGGCAAATCCTCGGCCCTACTGTGCCACAAACTGCTTATAAGGTCGTATAAGTATCTGTTTCGAAGTATTCTCACATTCTGGAAGACGTGTGAACTGCATGTTTGGCTTGATTACATGATGAACTCTTTCACCGTTGGCACTCACGAACGCGAAAAAACTGATTTAGAAGATGAGAAGCCTACAGGCCATGGCAGTTTCGCTGCTCAGCAGTAGAGTTGAAGGCCGTTCAGTAGCTTTTGAGAGCCTCAGTCCAAATCACCACAAAGCAAGCACCCTGGCTTCACTGGCTTTTACTCGGGTTGCCGAGGTGGTGTCCCTCTCTTCCAACCGGGTCCCCCCGCTAGCCGCAGCACGCTCATTCAGCCAGCTGATCCTCTTCTCGATTTCTTCGCGCATTTCCGACTCTTTCCGTTCCTGTGATCAGATGGGACTTCGACAATTCCGAGCTGGCACCAGCAATAGCAAGACATGCTGCAGGCTGAGGTTGAAGGACGCTACCAGCATTGCAACATCGATTCCGCGTTCGGCAGACGTAGGGGCGCAACTGAGAGAACCACATCGTACAACTACTCACTCTCGAAACCAGGAGAACTGTACCCAACGAACCGCTATAGGTCCGCTGACCTTCAAACCCGCATTTCTGCCATGAGCAGATCATAAATCCGAGGAGTATTTGCAAAACTCGACCCCAGGGAACGGACCGTGCCTCACTGGAAGAAGTGCCCAAGGTCGACATGACATCCGAATGTCCGAAGTAGGCCTCGCTAGGGACGTGTTTCAGCAGGTGTGTTCCGGTCCAAGGGTTCAGGAGCTCTTACCCAGGCACTAGCATCTGGCATGCCTCTAAGTAGTGCTTGCCACGCTCACCTGAGCACGAGCTTGTGTGCAAAAGCCCCGCTGTGGGAACTGTGCAACTTCGGCCTCTGCTACTCTGCGACTCTGCTAAATTAAAGCTGTCTGCTCACTTTGATTTGACAGGTCATGACAGGTCACACACGTGGTCGGCCATGTAAGCTGGTGTGGCGTATCCCACGGACTTGTCCGCACGTGAGTACAAGTGGCACAGCTGGAATGTGATGATTTCCTGGGAAGCGTGGCACAAGTACCGGTGCTAGCGATAGCAGAGGCACCACAAATCTCGGAAATCCAAGCAACGAAGTCGTCCACTTTGATGCCTCTCTGCACGAGCCTCTTGTCCAAGTGCAGGATGTGGTAGTGACAAGGCACCGAGGTGCCCTGGATACCTTGAGGCGAGATGCAATGTGGCCGCAAGGCAACAAGGCAAGGTAAGCCCGTGATTCTGGCCTTCCTGGGAGACAAGGAAGAAGTTCATGTGCGAAGGCTGCGCAATGTTGTCACTGGCCACCGTGCCCGGGCGAACCTTTGCAGCCACATGCTTCCAGTTGTGTCTTACAAGTTGTTGCCCTGAGAACTGCTCGCCTTGCCAAGCTATCCATAGTCCGTCAGAATCCAATAATATCCCTGGCTCTTGCGTTCGTGCGGACGCATGCGTGCATGCACGCGTGAAAGCGTGCGTGCGCTAGATTGGGACATCCCGTAGAACTGGAGTGGGAATAAGGTTCGCGGGAACCACGGTAGCTGGCAACTGCAAATGAGAAGAAGTGCGAGATACTAGAAGTGAGCAATAACATAAGGTGGGCAGGAGGTTGGAACAACACATGCGCAAGTTGAGGGCAGCAAGTGAAGGCATGTGAAACGCGAGGGAAGGGAAGAACAACAGCTTGAAAGTGAATGGTTGAGGCAGTCAAGGCCCGGGACAATACGTCGAGCTTGTGAACGTTCATGTTTTTTACGCGTTCGAAGCCACCACAGTGACGCTATTAAGCACAAAGCCCACAACCCAGAGTTAACATGCGCAGGTTGTCAAAAAACTTAAGAAGCGATACCTGGACTATTCCATCTCAGATGATCTAACCCACTGCCCACATCCTCGGAAGCTTTTGCTCGATGCTGCAATCCAAGTCGTCGGCCTGTGCCGGGTCCTTCTTGCCCTTGCCCTTGTCCTTGCCCCCTCCCTTGCCCTTATCATCTGCCATCCACAGACGTGTCTGATGACGTTTCCTTCGGCTTTTCGGGATAGAGAAAGCGGGGGATGGGGCAGTTGGTGCAGGGCGCAGGGCTCGTGAACACTCGCCAAGGTTACGCGAGAAGCATAAGCAAGGCGGAAAGGCACAGCACGAGCAAACTTCTGAAGGCGAGGGTCTGGCCAACGATGATGACCAGACGTGGCTCGTATGTCGCCTCTACGTTCTTAAACGCGGCATCCAGCAGGTTCAATTCGCGCTGCAAGACGTTGACGAACTGTCCATCAGAGACACCATCGCCTCAACCGTGACACATGTCGTCTAGTGTCGTAGGCAGTTCATGCAAAAGTGGAGCGGCACACTTCTGCCGCCCTGGGAGAACCCCTCACACGATAAGTGCCGCACGATAGTAGATGATGTTGTTCGGCAGCCGTCCATTCATCTTTCTCCACTTCTGCAGCATATTCTGTGCCATGCCTTGGGGTCATTGCTTCTTCAGCCGCTTAAGAAGACAGACCCAAGTGCCGTGGCCAAGAGGCCCCACCCTGCTAGGAGGAATCCGCTTGGTGCAAGTGGGCTTCTGGTCAAATCAATAATGCGCTCTTCACTTTGGCGGTTTCTCTGCTTGAGCGTGTTCAAGGTATAGGGCGATTGTCCGCGTATCTCGTGGAAATAGGAAGCCTTAGGTTCGGGCCCAGGCACAGAGTCAAAGCATTCTCGCACGACAAGAACATACAAGAACGAATGAGTTTGAATGAAAGCAACTCCTTGCTCATGACAATTCTGATGAGTAGCAAAGCTGGAATCCACGGAAGCCACAACTCCAGCCACACTGATTCCAGCCACGTTGTGCGTCACATCCGCGCCCATGATCATGGTGCCCTGAGGAGCTGTGCATGAAGCAAAGGCGGTGCCCAATTTGAAAGGGCTCATTTAAAGTGGGCTCAAGAAACTCAAAAAGCTCAAGCAAACCACAAAAAACACCCTGATTTGCGGAGGCCTCTTCCTTCTTGAGCAGCCAATGGGGCTCGGCAAGCGCCACGTTGAAAGCCGCCCTGGGAATTCCGGCCTTTGCAGGAACCTTTGGCGTGACCTTGAGCATGAGGTTGTTGAGCTTCTTTTCCGCATCCTGCGGGAATAAAGGCAGCTCTGTGCACGGAGCCTCGAGCCTGGAGCCTCGAGCCTTGAAGAAGCCATGCATACCAGCTGCAAGGCCTATTCTGATACTTCTACTTCTGAGGACGGCGCGGCGATCCCCTTCTTGCAGTTCACAAACTGCGTGGTGAAGCTGCCCATCTCTGTCTCTGTAATGAGCTTGATCAACTTGTAGAGCTGATCAGTGATTGCCTTTCATGCAGTCTACTCATCTGTAGTGCTGTGCCTCACGTGTTTCGCTCGCCCTTGCTCGGCACCCTGAGCATCCCGCCTCGCTGTCCTCAAGGAGGATAACCAGAAGCTTCAAGTCCTACAGGGCAGTAAGGCAAGAATGTTACTTCAAGCTCCGCGAATGCTGCGGCAGTCTTTGGGAAGGCTGTTTCTTAGATGCACTGTGTCACTGTGTCCTTATGCTTGGCGAGCAATTGCGTGAGCTCTTCACGGAGAACATTGCCCAGCGTGTTAGAGAAGGACTCACGGTTCTTCCAGCCTGCCGAGAGCTGGAAAGACCTTCCTGCCCCCATTTTACGCTGTTTCATTGAATTGGGGAACATACAACATGCACCAGGTCGTGTCGAAACCTCAAAGCAGGTCCAGGTCAGACAAGCTAGAGAGTGATCAGCTATGGCAACCGAACCGCATGGGGGTGACGCGATGTGGCGGCGTCGACATTATTCTTAGGCTGGGCAGATCTGGATATTAAGCTCTCTTTCAAATCATGGCTGTCCTCCCAAAAAAGTAGATGAGAAGCAACGTTGGTGGCCACAGCCAAGCGACAAATCAAGAAGCCACGAAGAATGAATCAGCCAAGCTGCATCTGTAGTAAGCATCAAAGGCCTGCCAGAAGATCCCAAGCTGTTCCAACAATTCTGGGAGGCATCCCAACAACTCCAGTTGGATTTTGCGACAATCGATCCTGGCCTTTTGGGGCCATTCTACAGTCTTTGCCTCCGTGAAATTCATGCCTTTCGCATAACACCTCTTCTTGAACTCGCCGGCGAGCCACCAGATGTCCCGCCTCGGTTTAAACCAGGCTACCAAGGCTGTAGTCCTTTGTAGGCTTCGGGAGATTGGCAATCTCGACAGAGTGCTGGGGCTGGTGTGTGTAGAATTTACAGTCGGGATGGACCAACGTGGGCTGCACGCCGAGCAGTCCAACGCCAAAAATCATTGAGCTTGGATGCAAGCCCTACCGTGGGTCCTCCCCAACTCGCTGTCTGAATTCTCAAACACCATACACCTTGCTGCCATGGTGCTCCTGAATTTGGCTGCCAGTCGTGAAGCACCACATGCCCCAGGCTACCTGACAGCTTTCTCTTGCCGTATCTAGCTCACTGGCACTACGGACCACTGATACTGCTACCTCGGCCTGTATTTTCGGCAAATGTTCAGGGTTGTTCAGGCTTGCGGTTGTGTGGGCGAACCTTTCCCGGCTTCGGTCTCTAAGTGATGGCTGCTATGTGGAACGTATGTTTATGCCACTACTCTGGCCTTGAATGGCGTGTTGCCAAGTGCTGGATCATCCGCTGTCGTACATTTAAGCGGTAGTCTTGGCCAAAAGGCCATAAAACTCCAAGTCAACCCCTGCGCCTCGAACTGGGGAGGAGAAATCGCCTTGAAGTTGTTGGAGTAGTTCGTCGAGGTCCCCATGTAGCTGTTGCCGGTGTTACCTCAGATTCGTCTAATACCACAAACCTAAATGAAGAGCAATGTTTAATGTTACCTGGAGTCAAAGTGAGGAGGACGTGATCACCATTTTTGTTCATAGTGTGAAGATGGGTTGCTTCTCTCCACGTGAGGTGGGCTGGTCCAGGTCCCCAAGGCCAAGTATAGCGGCTTGAAACTACGAAATGTACTAGGAAGGGAGGCAATCTGTTAAAATCATGCTTTCGATCCTTGACTCAAGCAAGCTCCGGGGTGCCATCCCTCATCTTGGGCGTGTCCAGCAGGCGCCCATTGAGCTTAATCATCTGAAGCTCCATGGTGATCTGAGCGAGGAAGCACGGAAAAGTCCAGGACTGATGCTAGCCGTGTGGTTGCTTGCTTAGTTGTAAGAAAACTTTGAATTAGGCAGTATGGTCATGTCCAAGCGGCTCCCTTGCTGTTTAGAGCTGACGCAGGACCTAGCACCAAGGGCAGCACAAAGTCATGGGCTGCGCGTCCAGCACAGGCATGTGTGCCCAGTGTAGCTGCAGAGGCAGCGCTCGATTGAAGAATTCCTAAGCCCGCAAACTGCCCTTGGAGGCCCCCCTCCTTGCCCTGCCTACTCATTCCCCCCCTCCAGCCTGAACGGCACTCAGCCTTTTCTAGCTCCTTCGCACCATGGTGCATCCCCAACTAACCCTCTATACCCTCGCATCTCTCTTGCATGTGAAATGTGTTTTCACGTCTGCTTAAGCGCTTCTGCCAAGTCAATTGCTTGTGGCAGTTGCTGGTGTTTTGCCGCTTGCTTGTGTGACATCCGCTCCGAGCGAGCGGCCGTTGCAGGATCTGGGGATGGGTTTTAGGGCTACGCTGCGTTGCCAGACTCCGTCGGAAGGCTTCATGGTTCGCAAATGCTTACAGCAGCACATACAAGCGTCTTTGGAGCACGATTTCTGCGTTCCCAGCACCCCCAACACCCACACAAAAGCAAATGACGACCTGCGTGAGATTCATCTCCTTGATTTCCCAGATGATTGGAAACGGGCGTAGAGACCGGGAAACAGGAGTCTGGGCGATCGCGGGTCCCCCACGCCAGTCTAGGGACGCTGCTTACGGCAATATTCAACATGACACGGCATTGTCATTGAAATCCTGTCACTTGAATGTCTGCAGGCACCGCTCTCGGCACATGTCTACAGCAGGAGCAAGCGGCACGTGACTTTCATGAGGAGTCGAATGAAACGAACTGAGGAGCTGGCCCAACTGCGGGTTGTTCAGTGCTGTCATGATTTGATCTCTGCGTTGCGAGGGTGGCATTGCGGTTCTCCTTGTCACCTGCGTGCTTGCTGCTCCCTCCCCTTATGATCATGGTCTCACATTTCAGCGAGACCCAAGCCAGAATGCCGTCCAGAACACAGCAGTAGTTACAAGAGATTGTCGAGCATCAAGTCCTAAACTGTCACCACATCGCACAAATGACCTCCACCTGGAATTCTGGGCGCAACTTTCCAACGGCTAGGTTGTGTTCACCTCGGTGTCAGGTCGTGGCGTTCAGTTTCAGAGCTTCAGGCAATGACTGGTACCACTAGAGTCACTATAGCCACAACACACCACGCGTCCAAGAGCGCTACAACACTGACGACACTCCGAGTGGACTGCTGCTTTCACGTTGAATCTGAAGCTCCGCATCCGAGGCACCGCCCAAGACGGTGACGAACTCCATGGGAATGCAATTTCGGGCACTGCCCAGCTGAATGCAGGGCAAATCTGGATACCAGACATCAATGCCATGCTTGTGCTTGAAGTACTGCACAACGTTGACCTCGAGTGTCATTTGGAAAATTTCACTATCTGTCCTGAACAGAAGCGTTGCTACTCATGCGGAGCAGAGGTAGCAAAGCCAGAAGCAAAGCAAGGACTACACTGTTGGAATCAATCACATGCAAGATTTATCAGGACTTCCTGCCTTGCCGCCCATCTCTTCGCAGTCGAACTCCTGGCGGTTGGCTGGCTTGTCGGAGACACCGTAGACCACCTTGTTGCTCACCTTGACCTGCCAATGGACACGCCACTCGTCGCATCCATGAATGATCTCAAGCTGACACAGAAAGGCAAGCTACAACAAATCACAGCTTCATGTGATTTTGCCCGGCATAGCAAGTTCGCGCCTTTCCATACTCTGCCTTCACTTTCCTCAGCTGGCAACACGAAGAGCCAAGACTTCTCACGAGGTGTCATTCCACGAAGCGAATTGGCGAAAGCATGTCATGGATCAGAATGTACTTCTCGCAGTATGTAGAATGCATGCAGTGAGTGTTCTCCAGGCAGTCATTCGAAAACCTGTAGGGGCATAGTTCCCCTACAAATCAATCCTCTTTGGGTGACTTCCTGTCTCGGTCCAAGAATCAGCCTTTTCAAGCCCAGTTCTCCACGTAACGCATCGCGCATGCGGGCGTAGGATCTGGCACGCGCGGCTGGTCTGTGGGTTCTTAGGGTTTATGGCTATATGACATTACATGTCTTGGGGTTCATGATGTTTGGACGTTTGATCTTTCGGTTCTCACAGTCAGGTGGGAGGCAAGGCTTTGCCGGACAGGGCTAGGGTTACTCCCGCGCACCTGATTCAGGTCACCAACCAATGTGATCTACGGACGATCACTCCCAGCCCTTCCCCAACCTGGCCCTTCGAAATCAAAAACCCTGGGGATTGGACGAGTCTTTCCCAAAAGAATTGGTCTCACCCTCTGCGATCAACACACACGACCGTGCTCTCACATGCCGAGTCCATCTCCAGGAGAAGCTGCGCGTGTAAGTGCATTATAGTGCGCACGTAGGAGATGACTATGCGCGTTGCCATGCATGGGAAACGCTATCGTCCCGACGATGGCTCCTAGCATCACTGCGCATCCCTAGGCATCGGTTCTGTTCAAGCCTTCACCAATGTCACATTCATTCTGGGTCCGGCGCCCGTCCCAGTACTTGCGCGGGATTTCCCTGACAGCAGCAGACATGCGTGGTCAACGCATGTCAGCATATGACATGAGCTCTGCAACTACTTTAGGTCTGTCATCGCCCAATTCCCGATCCCTCGAGAGCACTGCCCACATGCTATAGCCGAGAGCCCAACTTTTCGCACTCATCCTCGCTCCACCAATCCCCAGGCTTCCTGGCCTCAACGCAAGCTAAAATGCATCGGAATAAGTGCTTAATGATTGCCTCATGAAGGTTGAAACAATCTTGAGATATGCCGGCGAAGACCCCAAACAATGAGATTGTATAGAATCGGAAAACGCGTGAAACAACAATGCGACATAAATTCGACAGGCGTTTAGGGTTGCCCTAGATTCAGTGCCGAATACAGAGGAGCATGCCCAAATGCAGTATTGGTAGCTGGCTAAATGCGTTCGCGCTGCTGTTTGGAAATCCGTGTTTCGTTACAGCGTGCAAACAGCTCACAACCAAATCCAAAACTAGAAATAGAGTGGTGTTTTGCGACCAACCACGATCCCACACGCATTTCGGTGCATGCCAAATGCATTCTTCGTCGCACGAAGAATGAATTTGGCAACGCTTTCCCGTTTTTCCCGTTTGTCCTCGTTCATGAACTCGTCGATTCTCTTTCTCTGCATAAGAAGGAAGAGCTCTAACTAAGGGCCCGAACACGCCTAGCAGCTTTTCGACGTTTTGCAAGAGTTCCGAGGGGCCAGAATCAAAAGGAACATGCCCAAATGTAATTGTCAAGGCCGGCGAAATGCATACACGTAGCTGCTTCTTTGCAAACCCGTAAACGGTAAACCCTAAACTAGTTAAATGAATACCCTGAACCCTAATCCCTAAAGAGGCCCTAAACCTCAAACTGCCAGCCCTAAACCCTACACCCGGTATGCTGAGGTTTGGATCTTGGGCTGCGAGGCCGGAGCCTTCGGGCCTCGCTGTTACACCCGACAACCTCTAATTCAACACTTTAGGGTTTAGGCTGTTGGGCTTTGGGTAAAATAACGGCCATCACAAGACTTGAACTAAACGCGCCTTGAGCCCTGAATCTGCTTATAACCCCAAGTAAGGTACTTATAACCTTGCTTACTAAGTCCCATGATCCTCCAAGTAGGGGCCCTGTTTCAGCTCTGAGCTCTATGCATACAGGGGTGCAGACGGCGAGTTTGGGGCCTAATGTAATGTAGGGGCCTTAATAATTTGAATAGGGTTTTGGGATCCTCGATAGTATAGTTATAATAAGGAACCCTAAGGAAGAATATTGAGAATAATTTAGGCTACAGTAGGGGCCTTTTAAAGGTGGGCAAACGCGTTTCGTCATCGCGATGCACGGATGTAGCTTCAGCCCAACCCCAAATAAACCCTTCTCATACAGAGCCCTCTAAGAGAAGCAAAAAAGTGCAACATCACAAAAGCGCGAATTAACAACACCTGAAACCCACACAAGCTGCTTCTGACTTCTCGTAGGAAACATCCGTTGATATCACATCGCGCAGCCACCTCCATCTCAAGCTCTACGACAAAAGCTAGGTCACAGAACTTACAATTGAGGGACGCGTCCCTTGAGGCACGTGGAGTAAAAATCCACCGAAAGGAAAGCCCTGGCAGCGCAGATTGCGGCCCCCGGCCCAGAGCGCAGCTGATCCTGTACTGCACTGCTGTCACCACCATTGGCGGCATCACCCCAGGTGACCACCGACCCGTCACCCAGGATTGCGGCAAATGCAAAATCAGAAGCCTGGATCTGCTGCACATTTCGCAGCTGATCCTGTACTGCACTGCTGTCGCCACCATTGGCGGCATCACCCCAGGTGACCACAGATCCATCACCCAGGATTGCAGCAAATGCCCCATCAGAACCTTGGATCTGCTGGACATTCTTCAGCTGCTCCTGTACGGCATTGCTGTCGCCACCATAGCTGCCCCAGGTGACCACGGATCCATCACCTAGTATTGCAGCAAATGCGCTAACACAAGATTGGATCTGCTGCACATCTCGCAGCTTATCCTGTACCGCACTGCTGTCGCCACCATACTCGGCATTTCCCCAGGTGACCACCGATCCATCATGCAGGATTGCAGCAAATGCCTCATGTGAAGCTTGGATGTGTTGCACATTCTTCAACTGTTCCTGGACGCCACTGCTGTCGCCTCCAAAGCGGAAATGGGCCCAGGTGACCACAGATCCATCACCCAGGATTCCAGCAAATGCCTGGTAAGAGGCTTGGATCTGCTGCACATCTCGCAGTTGATCCTGTACTGCACTGCTGTCGCCACCAAAGTCGGCACCACCCCAGGTGACCACGGATCCATCACCCAGGATTGCAGCAAATGCACCACCAGAGGATTGAATCTGCTTCACACCTCGCAGCTGATCCTGTACTTCACCGCTGTCCCCACCATAGAGGACATGACCCCACGTGACGACAGATCCATCACCCCGGATTGCAGCAAATGCGGCAGAAGATGCTTGGATCTGCTGCACATCTCGCAGCTGATCCTGCACCGCACTGCTGTTGCCACCATAGTCGACATTTCCCCAGGAGATCACAGAACCATCACCCAGGATTGCAGCAAAAGCGTGTTGAGTAGCTTGGACCTGCTGCACATCTCGCAACTGATCCTGTACCGCACTGCTGTCGCCACTACTGCATTCGGAATCACCCCAAGTCACCACAGATCCATCACCCAGGATTGCAGCAAATGCCTGGTAAGAGGCTTGGATCTGCTTCACATCTCGCAGCTGATCCTGTACCGCATTGCTGTCGCCGCCATAAATGGCTTGCCCCCATGTGACGACAGATCTATCACCGAGGAGCGCGGCGAACGCAGATTCACCGCGCTTAGTGCCTTGAAGCTGGACTGGGTTCACATGCAGGGTGAGTACGTCTCCATTCTTCAACTTTGCTTCTGTGACAGTTCGTGTTCCGTCAAGCACCTCTCCGGAAGCATTCAGCAGCCTCCCTCTACCCGTGGCCAGGGCACTCTGGGCACGCTGCTTCAACGACTCAACAAATGCATCCGACTCTACTTCCAGAGAGGCACTCTTGCCACTCAGTAGATGCACATCCACAGAAACCGACATGATGCTTTGTAGGATTCCCTAAACCCTAAACCCCCTTTTTGCCGGAGTGCTCTCTTACGTGCCTCAAGCTGCCACGGACCCTAAACCCCCTGAACCCTAAGCCTTAGGGAGGTCGATCATGGATTGACTCAAGACCTAAGACCCTTCATCGATGCTACAAAGCCCTGTCGAGCCCCAGGAGAGCCCCACAAGCTTTCGGGTTTTTGGTTTGGGGTTTTAGGGTTGTGAGTTTGGGGTTTAGGGCTTGGGAAACCACAGGAATCCCAAATAGGACATGCATTCTTCGCCCGTGCATTATTGCATTCGGCTCTCTTTTTCCCTTATTGATCAATGCACGAGGAAAGAATATCCTTGCAAATGTGGAAAGCAAGACCAAAGCAAGACCAAATGCATTTTCCAAGCCTCGAAGAATGCAGATGCATTCTTCGCCCGTGCACTCAGTGCTTTCTCCCTTTCGGAAAATGCAGAAGGAGAGAATACAATATCCGTATCAGTGAAAGTGTGGAAAGCAAGACCAAAGCAAAACCAAATGCATTCTTCAGGCCGCGAAACATGCATTCGCGCGGCGTCCGGTCGTCCACGTCGATTGTGCAGTCTGTGTTTCGTTCTGGCGTGCAAACAAATCAAATTAAGTCCAAAATAGAAATAGCTTTTTGTGTTTCGCGACCAACCACGATCCCATATGCACCCCGGGGCATGCCAAATGCATGTTTCGTTGCCCGCGGGTTGCATTTGGCAACGGCTTCCCGTGGTGTAACTGAGTGCCGGTGTCCGCTAAAGGCAGCTAAGCGATTGTTCTTCCCACAATAGACGCGGAAAAGACAGAGGCCCCGATGCAGGACACCAACATGAAATGCCCAACGTGCCCCAACATGTTAAGCTTTTGACCAAGATTCGGGCCCAAGGTCTTTGAGAGCCCCAGCAGAGACGCAGATTACGGACAAAAGCTGTTGAGCGCCTCGACATGTTCAACAATCCCACACTGAGGGTCGAGAAAAAGTGAATCGAAGAATTCATGAAGGAGGACAAATACAGACTTCAACACGACGGGCAACTATTGCCAAGTGCTTTTTTCGAACGACGAAAGATGCGCTTGGCATGTGCCGGGATGCACGTGGGATCGTGGTTGGTCGCAAAATGTCGCAAAACAACGCTCTATTTCTACTTTTGGATTTTGGTTTTGATCTGTTTACACGCTGCAACGAAACACAAACAACCCAATTTACGTGGACGACCGGACGCTGCGCGCATGCAACGGGCGAAGAATGAGATGGGGTGCTAGTTGCTTACGATGTCACCCTACGAGCACAAAGGGAAGGAACATGCGACCAACTTCTAGGGCTCTCGCCAAACCCTACGAGCACAAAGG